GAATCTGCTCCGGCCTCACACTTTGAACTCTTCCGTACTCTCGCGGAAGCTCATAGCGTACTGCCGTCTCCGCAGGGCGGGCTGTCGTCGCCCGCATCATATACTCTCTTGGGGCTTCCTCAATAATCCTCCGCTGTTCCATACCGCCTCTGGCAGGAATGAATTCTTCGCCCGGAGGCGCCATTGGCCTCGTAGAATACTCTCGCTGTCTGTAGATCCGTTGAGGGTCTGCAAGGTACTCGGGTTGCGTGACGACTCTCCTGGGTGCCGCGTACACTGGCGAGGTCCGCTGGTAGAGGACGTCGTCGTCTCGAGGGGGTGGACCGGGGCGCCTAGACTCTGCTCGAATGGGTGCTCTTTCGTAAACAACCTCGGGCTCGCCGGGTCGCAGTGGTGACGGCGCAACAGACTGGCGAACGACAGTAGACGGCTCGTAGTATCGACGGCCAGTAGCAGGATCTACCACAACCCTACCGGGCGGCGCTTTGGGTGGTCCCATTAGTGGGGATGCCCTCTCTCTCATGGCGGGCGAGCGAGATCTTGCGCGATCTGTCATGGGACGAGTGCTCATGCGGGTTACTTCGTAACCATCACGATAGTATCGTGCAGGTTCCCTACCGTAGCGATCAACACTAGCTGGGGATGTTGCGTACACCTCACCGGGCGCAGCATGAACAGCATAGACACCAGGCGACGGCACATGCCGCACATACTCGGCGCCGCTGATAACGCGGGGCTCTTCAATGTACTCTCTTCCATACCCATAGTCACCAATCGCCGCGGCTTGACTTGCTGGCCGTGGACGGTACTCTTGAGTATCGTACATGGGCGCAGCACCTTCCTCCCTGTATGATCGAGAAAATTGACGCTCAGGCTGGGCGTAACGAGGCTCCTCGTCGCCCTGTCTTCTTTGCCGCTTCTGTGGCCGAATGAAAGACGGCGCATTCATTGGAGACGGCGATCGCGGTTCTGGCTTGATGTAAGGCTCGTCTGGCGCTTGCCTGGCTGCCCTCTTGCCGTTCTTCTTCTTCTTCCCCTTGCGCTTCTCCCCACTTCGACCCCCTTGCGGCGAGCTATCTGGACTGGAAATAATGTTGGGCTCGTTACGTAGTGCTGCAACCTGAGCTGTGGTTCCTTGAGGGATGATCAAGTCTTGAGCATCTGCTGCTTGACCTCTGGCCATTGCAAGAGGCGAGACATGGGAGGGCTGGGGCGCTAAGGGGGATATGTTGTGGGCGCGAACCTGTATCAAAGGCGAGGGTTGGCGAGCGAGCATAGACTCCCTCAGTTGCTGTTGACCTGCGGCAGGGACAGACCTATCAGCACTGTCGTCAAGGTCCATAACGCCTGACTCCTCAGAACGACTGGTGTTTCCGCTCCCACCTCCTGATGTAGACAACCCCGTATTATCACCCCTATCCATTCTTTGCGTCGTTCCTACCGACGGGTATCGCGAGAATTCGGGTGCGGCATCGGGTCTGCTTGGAACTGGTCGCGGCTGGGAGGGATTGGAGTTCGAGGCTTGGCCCTGTGGCTGATGAGTAGCAGAGGCATGGGGTCTTGAGGACTGCAGGCCAGCTTGTGTCTTCTGGTTTGCTTGTACTTGCGCCTGACCTTCGAATGGCTGGCCTGTGGTGGACGCCTTCTGTATTTGAGCCGTAATCTCGGCATCGTTACCGCCGCGTGAACTGCGGTGCGAGGAATCTGGCGAATTGACTTGGGAAGAATAGTAAGAGTTCTCATCAACGGAGTCACTTGCAGCTGAAATGTTAGCAGCAGCTAGTGTAGCATTGACAGACGAAGGAGCAGCAGCTTGGACCAGAGTCAGAGCCTTGGACAGGACATCGGAGAGGTCGAAGTCGGCCAGAGGCTCCGACTGCGCCGAGGCCTTCATAGAAACCCGACGTTGATCGACCTCGTCGCGCAGTGCCCGTTCAAGGCGTTGCCTCTGGAGCTGGATCTCGGCCTTGATAAGATCATCAGACTTTTGAAGGAAAATGGGATTGATCTCGGTTTTGCCAGAGCCAACGAACGGTCTTGCGGGCAGGTTCGCATTAGCAGGGGGCGGGTTTCCTAAACCAGGAAGAGAAGCTTGTGGCGTGGTGGTCGCGAACGACTGCAGATTCCCAACTTGATAACCCTGCGCTATGCTTCCATTCGTCTCTTTTGCTGGTGTGGAAGGGTTTGATGAAGATGCTATGGCAGGAGTTGGTGTTTGGCTCGCCAACTGGGCTGGGACCTTGATCTTGGAATGCGACCCAGCAAGAATGGCATCGCGAAACTGCACGATTCTCTCGTACTGCTGTATCTTGTGTAGCTCATCTCTTGAAAGACCCGACGATGTCCCATTTGCCAACGGCGGTAGTGATGCGAGCTGGCCTTGAGCCATGGCGAAATGCAATTTGCGCAAGGAAATCCTCCGCAGTCAAGCAAGAAAGCGCGAAAAGAAAGGAATCTAAGAAGACAAACAGAACTACCAATATCGTGAGAATCAGCACTGTTGACTATACCCGAAGCGCAGCAGCCTTGAGCGCAGTAATTTCTGCAGTGTTGTAGAAAATGAAGAAAAGGGCGTCGTGCCGCTGGTGGATGTTGAGAGGAAAAGAGATGGGTCGTGGGCCGTCTGCGGTGATTTCTTTGTGAACTTTTCCTACAAGGATAAATCCTTATAAGAATCTTACGGAACAGGTGTGGGCCTTGATGGGTGGTTCAGGCTTGAGTGGGTCATGCACCTAAGCGAGTATGTCACCAGCTCCCCAGCCTCGGCGCACTTTGGCCATGGTCACCGCTAATGTTTTCGCGTCAAGGTCCCCGACGGCCGGAAACAGCTCCCTGTAGCTTAGCTTCCTGCAATTACCTCAACAGCGCAACGAGGTATATCGGCGTGAGTCAACACTACATATTTCTGCCAAAGTATCGCGAAAAGCCTCAAAAAGCCCCATACTGCATTTGTGAGCCAGAAACGGGTATTCCAACTTTGAATCCAAGAAGAAGAAACATAAGTGTCAAACTCCAGACCAACGTGGTTTCGCTTGCTTCATGCCGATCAGACTCCCACCAAACATACGTCGAAGCTTCTCTTCTTCAGCCCGACTTCGCTCCTTTTCTTCACCAAAGACCCGACCTTTTACAACAAGACACGGCATTGAGCATCGCAAGCCCCCTCTACTTTCACCTTCCACTCTCAGACATAGATTAGACGGCGCCTGCTATACCACATCAGCTATGGATTCCATCAAAACCCAGACAAATGGAGTGTCAACTTCAAAGCCTGTGCTATTCTTGTAAGTTGAACCTCATCAATGCGGATGAACACTATGACTAATAACTGCACAGTGACATTGATAATTGCCTCTACCCGAGGAGTGAGTTTCTGAAAGACACTCGAGACGGCATCATCAAGACTGACTCACTCTAGGTTCAAAGGTCCAGGACCACATGGCACAGCTAATTGACGAGTACTTCGTAAAGCACCTTTCCCTCCAGTGGGACGATGCCGTGAAATTGCACAAGGAGTATTACACCAACTATGGCCTTGCGATTGAAGGCCTGGTGCGCCACCATGAGATCGACCCTCTAGAGTACAACGCCCAGGTCGACGACGCCCTACCTCTTGAGCACATCCTCAGTCCGAACCCTGAGCTGCGCGAACTGCTCGAAGATGTCGATAAGAGCAAGTGTACCATGTGGCTCCTCACCAATGCCTACGTAAATCACGCTAAGCGCGTAACCAAGCTGCTGGGTATTGATGATCTCTTTGATGGCCTCACTTTCTGCGACTATGGACAGGCGCCGCTTGTCTGCAAGCCTGCCAAGGAGATGTATTTGAGGGCTATGCGTGAGGCGGGCGTCGAGAAGATGGAGGATTGCTACTTTGTCGGTATGTTGTTATTTGCACTAACAAAAGATCCGGCGCTGACCATCTGTCATAGACGACTCTTACCTGAACTGCCAAAAGGCCCAGGGCTATGGCTGGAACGTAGCCCATCTTGTTGAGGAGGATCTCCCGGTGCCGAAGACGCCTGCATCCGCTTATCAGATCCGTCACCTCAGGGAGCTGCGGGACACCTTTCCTCAATTCTTCAAGTCCAAGACTGCTTAGACTATTACAGCCAGGAACAATGATTGAACGACGCTAGACGGAAATGAATAGAAGGCGAGGGAAAATCCAAGCCAAAAGAATACGGAGAAGAAAAGGCTCGGAAACACTTTTCTTATGTTGAATTGGGTATCGCTAGTTCATAGATATCCTTAAACTTGAATACCCCCAATTTGATCCTTTTTCAACGCCCCAAACACCCCAAATGCAATGCTGTCCTGGTGATCGATGTGATGGTTCATGGCCGTCGAACGCTTCTGATCACTTCATCAAGCTTCGCCAGAATCTGGTCCTTCTCTCGTATCGCGTCCTGCCTCTGACTCTCTGCGACCTTGAGCTCGTCTTCCAGCTCCTGAATATAGCGCTCCTGATCGGCTTCGCTGCTGTCCAACCCCGGCAGGCTGGAGATAAGGACCTCGATCTGTTGTTCCTTGATGATGAGGTCGCGCGACAGCTCGGCTAGGCCATCCTTGAATTCGTCTGCAGGGAGAGGATCAACTGCAAGCAAGCTTGTTTAGCATTTGTCCGTCATTCTGAGGTCTAACATGGCAGAATGGCCTACCCTCTTTCTGTTCCGGATCCTGTTTGACCTCTCTAATTTTATCGTTGGGTCCGAGCAGCTCGAGATCGTGGCGCCGGTGGACGAAGTGGAAGCTTGCGACGAATTGCTGGGCAAGCTGGCGACAAACGTTAGTGCTTGCTAGACCAGCAGATGAGAAATGTAGAACAAAGATGAACATACCTGGTCCACAGCGTCTTGCAATTGAGTAAGTCTGTCGCCCATTACGCCGGTAATGCAGTTGATTTGCGCGATGTGGTGGGTTGTAGTATTGAGGTCAACAGTGACAAACAACCTTGGAGGCTTTGAATGCGACGCAGGTTGTTCTGCGGGCCAGCTGCTATGCACCTAGGCGTGAACGCACTGGCCGCATTCCTGCTGGGGTACGTACCTTTTTCCAACCTCTTGGTCTGAAGGTGCTTAACTGAGAGAGAACAACAGGATGGATGTTTCTTCAACACTCATAATATGTGAATCTGCCTACAAGTTTCGAGACATTTCACTCTGTATTCAAAATTCAAGAGCATGCAAGCTCTGTTACGCTCATTATCTAGGCACTTGTCCCGCCATAATCGACTTGCCATCTCATCAATACTCTCAGCTCCCCTATCGATATGTCCATCTCTAAGAAAACGACAAGAGAAGGGCCCGGAGCTGCTGTACCCTGACCCTCCATCAACAAACCATCATGATATGAGATCCTTTCTTGCGTACGCAAACCGTAGTGGACTTGATGTGGCATCAACAGTTTACGTCGGAACCCACTATGAGTACACAGTCTCTTCGACACTCGCCCAATACGGCATCCACGCTATTCGTGTAGGCGGAGCATCCGACCAGGGCATCGACCTCCTCGGCACTTGGAGTCTTCCATCCCGAGCTGAGAATCTAAAGGTCATCATTCAGTGTAAAGGAGGTGCCCAGCGCGTCGGTCCTTCGATAGTTAGGGAATTGGAAGGTTCCTTCATCGGCGCCCCGGTGGGCTGGCGTGGCGAAGGAGTTATTGCCTTCTTGATCAGTGAGAAACCAGCAAGCAAGGGCGTTCGGGAGTCTCTAGGACGAAGTCGCTGGCCCATGGGTTTTATCTCGTGCTCCAGGGAAGGTGTGGTGCAGCAGATGCTCTGGAACCAACGGGCCGACGAGGAAGGTCTGCGAGGTATTGTGGTGACGATGCGCCATACCGAGAACGGAGAGGGCGAGTCGCAGATTGTCTTGACACACAACGGAAAGCGAATCCCCAAAGCTTCAAAAGCGAAAGTTCCCGAGGGCGACTGAAGTCTCGGTTCAACTATTGAGCATTCAACATTAGACACTAAACCATCGAGGTACACCGCGCGGGGGTGGATAAATCTGCTGGAAGGCACTTGTCAGGAATCAAAACGGACGCTAGAGTGCCATACTTCTTCGTTAGGGACGAAGAGTTAAGTGGCTATGGAGTGAGGCTCTGGCAAGGTTGCACTGCAAACAAATACTCAACTCCGTCTTATTTTGCACAGCATAAAACGGCCTTTTACTGCGCAATCCCATGTTTTCAGATGTGCTGGGTCACTCTCTCTGACTAGAACAGCATCAAGACGCTAAGATGCAGCTGATCTATCTCTGGAAGCCATAATGGAGGAAGCATCTGGATGCAGGAAGGCACAGTGGTGAATGCCAGACGGCACATGGCCCTGAGGCTATAATCAGTTCGTATAAAGGAACTCTATGTCTCTCTTCTCTCTATTATCTATGCCCATAGAATACTGAGGGGATCGAAGCTACCATAACATCATTTCTATTTCACACCCCCCTCAGTCACCACGGCTTAAGTCTTTGCCCGCCAGATCTCATTTGGCTTCTATCACCCCTTCTTCAACAACGAACTTAGCACCTTCATTACCACCGCAAAAACTGACTATTGTCTTGTCGGCTCGAGACTCCATGTCGGCGAGCTGTAAGAGAGGTACTGATTGGCTACTGTATCGATCCTCGTTTCTCTCATCTGAGCTGTATTCCACCGATATGCTGTAAAATAGCAGAGGTAGGATTGACGACTTCCAGATGGGTTGCCTCCCGCTGTCTCGGCAACTCTGAACATACGCGGCCACAAGCAGGGCTGATGTCAGGGCCAGAAGAGCTGCAGGGTAAAGTAGCCACCATTCTTCAAGCCTTACGCAAATCGATGTGTGGCTGCAAGTTCCGTCCTGATAACTGTTTGATTTGTCCGTGTCTGACCAAGTCCTTCCGTTTACACGCAACCGATTCGTGACCGCTATAGACATATTGTCATGAGCAGCTGCAAAGCTGTCGAACGTGGCTTTCCCTCCATTGTAGAGAGCGTCAAGCCACCAACCTGTTTCGCACTGCAGCCGGCTGGAGTTCCCTATCCCATTCATGGCATCGGGAGATGTTGGTCCATTTTCGGTGGCATCAAAGAGCTTGCAATACCCTTTGAGGTTGTCCTCGAGGAAGTATCTGATGCCATAAAATTCTTCATAGTCCATGAACCTGACGCAATGAGCCGGGGCTCCCTTTGTCGCTCCATCTGAAGTCCAATATGTCCAGGCTACGCCATTTCGATTGGCGTCGGTGATATTGGACAAATCATACCAATTGTCATTGAGAAGACACGGCTGAATTATCGAGACGTAATCCGCCTTAGGCCCTCCGTGGGTGCGAGACATTGGCTCAGTCGACAGTAAATCTTCATGAAGAGTACCATTCGTGACGCTTCCGCTATAATGACGAAGACAAGGATACAGACTGCAGTTGACAGCCACAATGTCGAGGTCAGAGCTGAGTCTCGGCATGTCTTTATAATCGTGCTGGCAATTCCGATCTGCCGGGGCATCTGGGTTGGGCTGGGCAATGCAACCTGCCACAGAGAGCGTCAGAAAAGACGTTCTAACCGCGGATTCGTCATTCGTCGCTTTCGTTGTCATGTTGAACAGCTCTGGTTCAACGCCAGTGCTAATGGTAAACTCGGAGTCGTTGTGGAAGCGGTAGTTGTTGCGAAACCTGCCCATCATTTTGGTTTTCGAGTCTGGAAACTCTTGCAACTCGGATTTCACGTCGCTGCATTTGCTGCAAAGTCCCACAGACGAGTGCGTGACTCCAGAAACGTTCTGGAAAACACAGTTGCCCGACTCGCATTGGAATAATTGTGAACTGTCAAACGGTATAGCAAGTAGCCCGTTGATAGCGGTGGTGCTCATCTTTGCATTGACAGTCGCACTACCTCTAATGGAGTCGTGGAGCATAACCCGTTCGGCTATCGAGATGCGAGCAATTCCCTCAGCTGCAACCTCACAAGGATATGTTTTGACAGCTTGCTGGGAAAGGGGGCCGGTGGCGTACGAGGCAACCACAACCAGAGCGCGTAGTACTGTGAGTGTTCTTTTGCATATGTTTTTAGCACTCTCATACATTTACGGATCAGGGTATGACATACGATTTACAGACGTATACTAGGAATTTCAATGATCCCCAGGCACCATGACCAGCGTTGTCAAAATGTTCGACATGACGAAGTGGCCGCGGCGCCGCCATCCATGACCATTTGGCTTGTCCAATGACTGACATCATCAGTACGTATTTCTAAAAAGAAGACTGAGGTGGAGGGGGAGGGGGCAGTATTGACCTTCTGATAGTACGAATAACATCGCAGCTCTTAAGAGTGTGGTCAATATGGCAACAAGTGTGTTGATGCTCACACTATACGCCCAAGTCGGTTGCGGGTTGCCATTACTAACGACCAAGAGAATAACCATTACGATGAAAGCAATCACAGAGGTCCAAAGTGCTGCAAACTCGAGATTCCATTGTTTCAAGGTTGAAACTCTGCCGAGAGGCTTATAGAGTAGGCTGTTCTTCTCAGTTTGATTGAGATCTTCCTTGTCAGTGCCCCTCGGACTAGCTGACGAAAGCCCGTCAACTTCATCTCGGGACTCCTCCTCGGCAGTAACGACCGTATAGTCACTTATCGAGTCATTGTCCCGAAAGTTATTCGGCTGCTGGTCTAATATGTGTGTGCTGCGATGCGCTTCATCTGTGAACGATACAGACGAAGGTCTAGGAGATGACCCATTTCTAGCGGTATGAGGAGAGTCTTGGTAGAGTGTCATTTTGAGACGTTGCGAACTTTCTGAAACATTACAGATGAAGAATGGGCTTAAGAGAGGGAATTAATTCTTTATGTGCGGGCGCCTCAGAGATGCATGTCGTGAATCAGGCTGAGCCCGTGAGGGCCTCAATGACATGCATAAGCTTATGGCTTTTTCGCCCCGTGGCGAGGAGGACTTGGCTGCATATTGGATTTTTTGACGATTGGTACGATAAAGCTGCACTGCCCAATCTGCGGTGCGACAAGAAGATTCTAATTGCGGTTTTCGTGCAGACGACGAGGGCTGGCAAGCCGAGCATCCAACCGCAGCCAGCCTTCTCCCGATATGACGTCCTGTTGCGTTAGCAACATCTACAGCGGAATTAGCATCCATCACGAATAAAACAGGGATTGCGACGATTCGCGAGCAACCTGAGATATGTCTAGACAAACGGCCTGAACTGATAGAAATAATCCTCAACTAGGCCCTGCCTGGGGGAAATCTAAACCAAATTGCGAATTACCAACGGAAGTGAGTGGTCCCCTACTTTTCTACTACAGATAGAAAGAAGACAGCCGAAACCTGCTTTACATTGGTTGCTTCAATGCTCTGCCGAGTGAAAGGCTTCGTATCGCGTAAGAAAAAGTTCAGTAGTCAACCTAGAAGTCCCAACTTGAACGTTCGGCACAGCAGGAACTAGCTGATAGCAAATGACCCGCCCGAAAAGGCTAAATATTAATTGACACGACCGTCGAGTAACTGTCGTCATGGACGCTGATTTCAAGCCATGTCTCGAGCATCCACGAGACCACCTCTCTTGAATCGTATAACCTCTGAGGTTAAGCTCTATCCCGCGGTCTCAGCTAAACTCTTCAACACATTGAGAAGTACCGAGAACTTTGTCACTTTGCCTTCCTCACCTCGTTGACCGTACGGTCAAACCGAACAAGTCATGATGTCAGCGGTAATTACTACAGAGAGGAGAGAGTCACATTCCCCATCCGTAAAATCGTAGGAGAGCGCAGTTGAGTCACCTGGAGGAACGCCGTTCAAATGTATTGCACGTGTGACGGTCCATCAGCTCAAGCCTACCCCTGCACCAAGTGAGAAATGGTGATAGATTATGGCTCGATCTAGTCTCCACCTCATCTTCCATGGCACTCAAGAAGAGAGTCCCTACGCCGTTGGTCGACTCCCTAATCCTCGAGTCCAGCACTTAGACGGCGAGGAGCGAACACTGGTGTCCCACGGGATGTCTAGCCCTCAATACTGTTGGAAATAAGACTACTTAGGGGGACGGAATAAATATATAAAAGACAACAGACCATAAAACATAGTCAAGCACAAATGGAACAGACACATCGAGAACTACCACTTCTTGGAGTCTCAAAGGAGATCCACTCACAATGAACAAAACATCCAGTCAACGCTGAGCCAAACCTGGACGCGAAAGACACAACACCGAGTACACAGAAACCAGCATAACATCACCTCACCCTGTCTACACTAGTTTCCCTTCATGTAGTTTAAAGTGAACCAGCATAGACAGGTCCAAATCACCTCAACGCAAAGAGACAACCTCGCCGCGCCCCAAAGTGACAAACCTCATGATAGATCCACCCACAGCGGATCCCTCAACCCACGCACCACATCATCACCAAACAAAACTTCAAAAAACATACAACACCAGGTATTCGCTGGTCGTCACCGAACCAACTACTAATCCGGCCCTCACTGGCTTATCTATGGGAGAGCGGACGGGATCCCGAGTTCTCCAGTGGGTATGGTCGTATGTGACAGAGGATGAAGGCAGAGTTGCCCATATCGTGAGATGGCACGCTACACCGACGAGCCGTTCTTCCCCGCATCAACACACGGCACCACACAAGAAATGACAAATGATAGGAATATTTTCATAGAGAGAAATCCAATTAGTTTCATTTGTCTTGATTGGAATACTTTCTTCCTGATATCGTGGTTGAGGGAAAGTCGCCAACCGCCACAACTCTCCTCATCTCGCGAGGGAGGTTCCCCCCCGCTCAGTCACACAGCAAAGACCAGAGGTTTAGGGATTCCACCAACACAGAGAGAGCATTACACCAATTTTCAAATAAATCAAAGACAATATGGCTGTGTCAAAAGGGCCCCTGGGATCTGATTTTTGCAATCTAGCTTCAGCACAGCTTCGTCCGCACAGCGATAGGCACTCCGACTCATTAGGCTACGCGAACACGCCTTTGTACTCCCTGCCTATCTATCTCAAGATTGACAATACCTCCTTCCCATCACCAAGAACATCATGGCACAGTAACGCAGCAGTTCAAGTGATTGACAATTCAAGGTCTGCAGACTTCTCTTCAACACGGGAGTTTCCCTGCATCTACGCTATTACTCTACGCTGTTGGCCAGTAGCGTGGCCGTATCACCCGGCTTCTCCTTGCTCATCACCAACATCACCGTGTAAACACTTTTTCAAACAGTCAAGGGAATCCGCATGCGACTATCTAAACCTCCCAGCCTGCCTACTGCCTGAATCCCAAAGCAGAATAATTCCCATTCGTCAGTGTTCCTCCGTCCTGTTGTCGAAGAACCTGCACACGCCTTATATGTGTCCGGGTAAGTCAAATCAATGCCTGGTAAGACTGGGTGTGGTGTTGTATGCAGTTTTGAGGTTGTTGTAATACATGAGCCATCGAGAGAGGCAAGGGGGTATTTCCTCCTCCCGAAAGTACGATCCACTTCCCATCACGCCAGGTACCCAAGCTCGTCGTCTTCGAGTCGCTCCAAGTACTCCTTGTCGAGCAGAATCTCTATGCACTTCTTGATGTCCGAAACCTTTGGCACGAAGCGCGACCGGATCTGGTTGATGGTCTCGCTGACGAGCTGAGTGTGCTTCATCTTCTTCCTGGCCTTCATGATACGAACGATGGCAGACTGTTACCTTGTTAATACGTGAAAATTAGTGTCATAGAAATGGATGAACATACCTGCAGCAGAAGCTTGCGGTCCTCCTCGATCGTCTTGTTCGTCTCCACCTCCTCCTGCTTAGTCTCCTTGGCACCACCGAGGTTCAGGTTAACTCTGATCTTCTTGCTCTTGAAGTCATAGTTGAGGCGGAAGCTCTTGCCGGCCTCCGGCTTGCCTTCGGGAGACATAATGAGGACCTTGGCCTTGAGAAGAATGGCCAAGGCCTGGTCAAGGACCTCGGAGCTCAATAGGGTAATACCCGAAATATCCTCGTAAGTGTACTTGTCCTTATCGTTGTACAGGAGCAGGATGGCCATTTGGTAGGCAGACACCTGGAATGTGTAAGGCGTCTTGCTGTTCTTGCAGTAGCCGGCCTTCAGCTCGCCCTTGCAAAGCTGCCACAGCCACGTGAGCTTGCGGCCCTCGTGCCGATTCTTATAGAACCGGGTAAACCGCTCGCAGTCGTCATTGATCTCGTGTGGGGGAGTGAAGCTGGTGTTTGGTGCGGTCAGGGGCCAGAAACCAGTACCGAGGATGGAGTATTGGGAGTCGAGGGTAGTCTTAAGACCCTCAAGACCCGCCACATGCTCCTTGAAGCTGACGTTAAGGTCCTTGGACGTCTGCATGTCCTGGAACATCCTCTGGAGCTTGTTGGTGTACTCGAAACCACAGGCCTCCTTGAGTTTACTGATCATGCTCGTTTCCGCGTCGTCGGATGACGAGTTACTGTGCACCAGACGGCGGGCGAGCATGCGTGAGTAGAACTTCTGGAACACGTCCTTGTCCTCAATGTACTTGAAGACGGTCATGATCTGGGTAAGCGTGTTCTCCAACTCGCCCTCCTCAATGCCAGTGCTGCTCTTGCGCAACAACACATCTGTGTACTTGGCCAAGAGCTCTGGCGATTTGTTGGAGCCCGACTTGCAGACTTCGTTTCTGTTGATGAACTCGCGGCAGGCATTGTCCAGGGAGCGCGTGAACTCGGCCTCGCCATCAAACGCACGCGTCACCAAGCCCGAGTACTGGGAATGAATCTCCAACAACGCATCGACGTAGACCTTTGGCTCCAGCTTCTCGGCGTCGGATGCCACCTTCTCCACAGCACTCAGACCTGCCTTGCGGACATGTGTTTCGAACCTCTGCCTCAGTGGATCTAAGCCCTCTGGAATCCTAGACAGTAGCTTGTACATCCTCGCCATATCCTCCTCTCTGTCGTTATCCAAAAGGACCTGGAATTCGTCGCGAAGTAGCGTAGAGTGATCGGCAATGAGGGCTTGGTTGCAAGTCTTGCGCAACGGTGTGATGATATCAGCGTGTAGGAACATGCGCACTCGCTCCTCCTCTTCTTCAAGTCTTGTCTCCGCCTTCTTCATGTATTCGACGACACTGTTTTCGGCGACGAATTGTTTTGACTCATTCTGGTAGTATTCTTTCGTCGCAGCCAGGAAGGGGCGCTCGAAGTGGAAGCGGTAGACGTCGAGAGTGGACTTGGTGGGGTCGGCATCGTCGAGACCGAGGGACACGAAAGAGTCGACAACTTGCTTTATCTGACCATACTCAATGGTCTCACCGTTGCGCTGCTTCTCGACCAGCTTTAGAACCGCTTCCATAACCTTGGTCGATACCTGCTCGAAAAGAACCCTACGCCACTGGACCAGGTGCAACGTGTAAACGTCGTAGATGTTCTTCTTGCCCTCATCCATCTCGCGCTTGACCCAGTGTCGGTTCAGATACCGGAAAAGGTGATGGATGTACTTGGCCGCAATCGTGTATCGGTTCCATTCTTTGATATAGAATGTCAGCAAGGCTTCGTCGGTGTGCGTCTTGGACTGCTGAACAAGCCCTTCGAGATGTTGCTTGAGGTACTCGATGAGCTTGTTGTAGAGCTCCTCTCCGAGAAGGTGAGCTATCACGAGATGTTAGTATGGTGGCTCCACACAGCAACGGAAGCGTGTTCCATGCTCACCTCCTCTGTGGTTGCCTGATCCGATGCTTCCCTGGGGCACGGATAATCCGACAGCCTTTTGGGATGTGCAGAAGTTGTGGACGGCACT